AACGTAAATAAATAATAATAATAATTGTAGGTTTTTCGGGTTGTATGGTCATGTTCTAGAAGCATTCTCTCCTGACGTTTCGCCTGCATCTATGGCAAGCACCCTCAGAGGTTGTGAACCTCACAACCTATGAGGATGCTTGCCACAGATGCAGGCGAAACGTCAGGAGAGAATGCTTCTAGTACATGGTCATACAATCCAAAAAAACTACAACAACCCAGTGATTCTGACCATGAAAGCCTTTGACAGATGGTGACTACTGGATGGCATATGTTTTGTATCAGAAGCTAAACTGATGTGGTCTATCCAACGCAGTTTTCTGAATCAGCACCCCAAATAACCAAACCGAATCTAAAGTTGACCAAAAACCCAATCGTAACCCTTTTGGTGCTAATGGTGGAGAGTGGTCCTTGGTCAAAAAATGGTTGGGAACCACTGGATTAGATAGAACTATGGAGACCAGGGTGACCTTGGGCAAGGCTCTCTATATGCATGTGGTCTCACATTGAAGCATTCCCGTCTCTGATAACACTTTCCACCATAATTTAGACACTTAAGTGTCCAGACCAGTGAAAAGATCAAGAACGATATTGACAAGCTGGAGTGTGTTCAGTAGAAGGCAACCAAGATTATCAAATGTCTTTTGAGGAACAGTTTGGAGAACTGGTGGGTCTGTTTCAGTAGGAAAAGAGAAACCGTGAGGTGATATGGGGATTATCTTTAGATATCTGAAGGGATAGAATGTAGAAGTTGGCGTGAACTTATTTTTTTGCTGCTCCAGAGACTAGAGCACAAACTCACGGGTACAAATGTCCAGTTGTAGCACCTTAGAGACCAACTGGGAAGACAAAAGTGGTGGCATAAGCTTTCATAAAGTCTCTCTTCTCAGCTGCACGTTACATCCATGGATGACTTGCATAGAGAGCTAGTTCTTTACATGTGCTTCAAGATCAGTGGTTCTCAAACTCTGGGTGCTCAGGTGTTTAGGCCTACAACTCCCAGAAATCCCAACCAGTTTTGCATTTTTGGGAGTGGAAGACCAAAACATCTGGGGACCTGCAGGTTGAGAACCACTGTTCTAGATCAAAGATTTATCTCTTGATGCCAAGAGTGCAAGGGACTGTCCGTCTTTGGAGGTTAGAAAGGATTCTTTCAAGATTGTGTATCTCTGTATGCTAGAGGTTGGACTAAATGACTAGGTGGCTTCTGCAGTCCGTTCCAGTTCCGTGATGCTATGAGCTTGGAAGGGGCCCAGTATAGTCAATAATGGCTAAACAAAGGGGAGAAAAGAGTTCTGCCTAATCTGATGGTAGAAATATTTTCAATAAAATGTTTTTCAAGAGGTTGTTGTAGGTTTTCTTGGGCTGTATGGCCATGTTGGCTATTGGGAGGGATAGCCAATACTCCAGAGGACAGAAGCAGAATTCAAAACGATCTTGACAGATTGGAGAGATGGGCCAAAACTAACAAAATGAAGTTCAACAGTGACAAATGCAATATACTCCACTTAGGCAGAAAAAATGAAATGCAAAGATACAGAATGCAGGATGCCTGACTCGATATCAGTACGTGTGAAAAAGATTTGGAGTCCTCGTGGACAACAAGTTAAACATGAGCCAACAATGTCATGCGACGGATTTAAAAGTCAATGAGATTTTGGCCTGCATAAATAGGATCATAGTGTCTAGATCTAGGGAAGTAATGCTACCCCTCTATTCCTGCTTTGGTTAGACCACACCTGGAATATTGTGTCCAATTCTGCGCACCACAATTCAAGAGAGATATTGACAAGCTGGAATGTGTCCAGAGGAGGGCGACTAAAATGATCAAGGGTCTGGAGAACAAGCCCTATGAGGAGCGGCTTAAGGAGCTGGGCATGTTTAGCCTGAAGAAGAGAAGGCTGAGAGAGATATGATAGCCATGTATAAATATGTGAGAGGAAGTCACAGGGAGGAGGGAGCAAGCTTGTTTTCTGCTGCCCTGGAGACTAGGACGCGAACAATGGCTTCAAACTACAAGAAAGGAGATTCCATCTGAACTTGAGGAAGAACTTCCTGACTGTGAGAGCCGTTGAGCAGTGGAACTCTCTGCTCCGGAGTGTGCTGGAGGCTCCTTCTTTGGAGGCTTTAAACAGAAGCTGGATGGCCATCTGTCAGGGATGATTTGAATGCAATATTCCTGCTTCTTGGCGGGGTTGGACTGGATGGCCCATGAGGTCTCTTCCAACTCTTTGATTCTATGATTCTCATGTCCTAGAAGCATTCTCTCCTGACGTTTCACCTGCATCTGTGACAAGCATCCTCAGAGGTTGTAAGGTTTTGTTTTTCAGGAGTTCAGGATTTCAGCCTCCCACCACCTTCATGGCTCAAGTCTAAACACAGAGTAGTATCTCCCAACTTTGGGGTAGAACCTAAAGAGCAACCAACTTTCCATTTCCATGCAGGCACAGAAATGCTCAAAGTGAGACACTTGGCTGTATTGGTCCCTGGTTCAAATTTCTCAGAATATTATATTCTGAGAAATTACATGAAACCTGAAAAAAGAGCCAAGTTGGCACTCTATTTTTGTTCACTGCAGAAGAAACTGTTTCCGCACTCTGTCTTTTTTTGCAACCCGATTTGGTTGCTGTGGAACCCAACGCCGAAATCAGAAGAGGGGAAGAAGTCTGAAGGAAAAGATACTGTCAGGCAGGAGAACCTGCTGCTCAGCAAAGGAAAGACTAGGACCCCTTCCACACAAACACACACACACACACACACACACAGACAGACACTATTGGCTAGCCACATATTGGGGGCAAACTTACATAGGGGATCCCCCCCCCCCCCGCACCAAATGCCGCTCTGGGCCAGAGTGAAGAGAGAGAGGGCCAGGGGACAGTTCCATCTTGTTTCCTGTGCTATGCTAATATTATATTATATTATATTATAATATAATATAATATATTGTATATACATATAATATTTATAATATTATAATGTAATGCAATATAATACTACTAATAATAATATGATATTATAATTACTCGAGTATAAGCCTAGTTTTTCAGCCTCTTTTTTAGGCTGAAAAAGCTCCTCTCGGCTTATACTCGAATCAAAGTTATTTATTATTTTACTCTGTTATTAATATTATTTTATTAAATGTATTGTTTTACTCTATTTATTATTATTGGATAATTTCAACAGAAAGGAAAAAACCATGAAAATGAACAAAATCTGGCTACCAGTATTAAAAAACTCAAAAATTACAACAGCAAAACAACAGAGAGTAAACAATCAGGCACATCAAATCGCTCTCAACAAAAGATTCCCCCCAGGCACTTCCAAGCCATTAAATGCTAATCAAGGTGGTCAGCGGAAACATTCACACCTAGCTCCAGCAGATAAAAGTTCTTTGTCCCACCCTGGTCATTCCACAGATATATAAACCCATTTTCCTACTTCCAACAGACCTCACTACCCCTGAGGATGCTTGCCGTAGATGCAGGCGAAACGTCAGGAGAAAATTCCTCTAGAACATGGCCATATAGCCCAGAAAAACCTACAACAACCCATTATTGTTGTTATTATTACATTGATTGTTTTACTATATTTTTATTATTACATTTATTATTTTACTCTATTATTACAGTTATTATTACATTTCCATTATTTTACTCTATTGTTATTTCTATTACATTTCTTATTTTTCTCTTTATTATTATTGGAAGGATACAGAAGCACATTTACATTGCAGAAGGAAGGTTAGAATAATGGTTTAATCAGAGTTGGACAGTCTTATCTTAAATTAAAGTTTTATGTAAATATTCAAAAACGTTTAACCTATTGATGCCTCAATTGTAATTTTATTGGTATCTATTTTTATTTTAAAAATTACCAGTAGCAGCGGCATTTCCCACCCTCAGCTTATATGCAAGTCAATATGATTATTTTAGTATATTTTTATTATTACATATATTATTTTACTCTATTACCGTTATTATTACATTTCCATTACTTTACTCTATTATTATTTTTATTACATTTCTTATTTTTCTCTTTATTATTATTGGAAGGATACAGAAGCACATTTACATTGAAGAAGGAAGGTTAGAATAATGATTTAATCAGAGTTGGACAGATTTATCTTAAAGTTTTATGTAAATATTAAAAAACGTTTAACCTATTGATGCCTCAATTAATGTAATATGGAGCCCCCGGTGGCGCAGTGGGTTAAACCTCTGTGCCGGCAGGACTGAAGACCCGACAGGTCTCAGGTTCAAATCCGGGGAGAGGCGGATGAGCTCCCTCTATCAGCTCCAGCTCCTCATGCGGGGACATGAGAGAAGCCTCCCACAAGAATGATAAAACATCAAATCATCCGGGCGTCCCCTGGGCAACGTCGTTGCAGACGGCCAATTCTCTCACACTAGAAGCGACTTGCAATTTCTCAGGTTGCTCCTGATACGACAAAAATAAATAAATAATGTAATTTTATTGGTATCTATTTTTATTTTGAAATTTACCAGTAGCAGCTGCATTTCCCACCCTCGGCTTATACTCGAGTCAATATGTTTTCCCAGGTTTTTGTGGTAAAATTACATGCCCTGGCTTATATTCGGGTCGGCTTATACTCGAGTATATACGGTATATATTTATATTACATGTAATATTACTAATAATATTACAATATAATTGTATAGTACAATATAGCAATATATATTACTGATATTGGAGTATACTAATAATATATATATATTGTGTGTGTGTGTGTGTGTGTGTGTGTGTGAGTCCCCTTCGGGGTGAGAAGGGCAGCATATAAATGTCATAAATAAATAAATAGGATGACCAAGCTGCCTGACAATCGAATGCCACTGATTCAGCATTCCCTGGGACCTTTATTATCCTGCCCTTGGACAACATTGGGAAAGGAGAACCACCTTTAGCACACGAGCCCATCATAGAAGCAGGCAGTGTCCCTTACAAAACAAGGCATCTGTGTCGCAATATCAGATTCCATACCTGGCTCTTTTTCTCCCCTTTGGCTCCTGGTCTTGGAGGAGATCAAATGCAGCTCCTTTGCTCCTCCAGCTTTGCAGACTTGGCCACAGCTGGACAGGAACATCAGGGACTGCAATTTATGTCAGGCTTCAGAGTGAGGTAATCACGCAGCTAACAAAGGGTTTGCTTCCTTGTTTGCAAAACACAATCCAAAGTAAATATGGTGTTGAATAGAAATAGCCTGCCTATAGGGTTCAGGAAGGATCATGAAAATACAGAAAGCCTTTTTCAGTCTCCAGTGCTTGCACGGGTATATTCTGCAAGCCACGGTGACTAATAGCTTAGTTAGTTAGAATAATCCACAATAAACCTTTTTTTAACCAAATCAGTTGAATCACAAAATTGGTCTAAAAATGATCAGCTGATTTTGAAAAAACTCAACAGGGGCTATTTGTCAACTTCGAGGAAGCATCTTCCTTTTCACACCTATCACAGTGAGTCATTAACAGGCAACTTCCTCAATGGTAGGAATCCACTTTGGAAGTTAGGCAAGTGCAAGGCTATTCCCTCTTTTGTCAAGACTAGAATGATGTTGTCCTCCATTGCTCAGGTATTAGAGATTGCAAGAGACCATCATTTGATTACTTTCCCTCTCTACTTCCTTATATCAATATAGCTCTGCCAGTTCCATTTTTTTCATGACTCATACTTACCCAAACTTGTCTTACACCATGCTGCTCTGTATGCTTGAAACCGCCTCCCAGGATATTGAACTGATGCTTCCTCTTATTTCTTCGAGGGTCTCTTCAGAACCCATATTTTCCATGAATTCTTTTTCTAGGCTACGGTATATGACAGTGTTTCTCAACCTGGGGGTCGGGACCCCTGGGGAGGGGTCATGAGGGGGTCAGAGGGGTCACCAAAGACCATCAGAAAACACAGTATTTTTTGTTGGTCATGGGGGTTCTGTGTGGGAAGTTTGGTTCAGTTCCATCGTTGGTGGTGTTCAAGTTGTATTGTATTTGATTGTACGTGAACTATACATTCCAGCAACTACAACTCCCAAGTGTCAACGTCTATTTTCCCCAAACTCCACCAGTATTCAAATTTGGGCATATCAGGTATTTGTGCCAAATTTGGTCCAGAGCATGAAAATACATCCTGCATATCAGATATTTACATGACGATTCATAACAGGAGCAAAATTACAGTTATGAAGTAACAACAAAAATAATGTTTTGGTTGGGGGTCACCACAACATGACTGGATCTAATAATCAGTTAACACAGCGTTTCTCAACCCGGGGGTCAGAGCAGTCTCTAAAGACCATCAGAACAGTCTCTAAAGACCATCAGAAAACACAGTATTTTGTATTGGTCATGGGGGTCCTCTGTGGGAAGTTTGACATAATTCTGTCATTGGTGAGGTTCATAATGCTCTTTGATTGTAGGTGAACTACAAATCCCAGCAATTACAACTCCCAAATGTCAAGGTCTGTTTTCTCCAAACTCCACCAGTGTTCACATTTGGACATATTGAGGATTTCTGGTCCAGATTCATCATTTTCTGAGTCCATGGTGCTCTCTGGATATAGGTGAACTACAACTCCAAAACTCAAGGTCAATGCCCACTAACCCTCTCAAGTATTTGCTGTTGGTCATGGGAGTTCTGTGTGCTAAGTTTGGTTCAGATCCATTGTTGGTGGAGTTCAGAATGCTCTTTGATTGTAGGTGAACTATAAATCCCAGCAACTACAACTCCCAAATGACAAAATCAACCTCCCCCAACCCCACCAGTATTCAAATTTGGGCATATTGGGTTTGTGCCAAATTTGGTCCAGAGCATGAAAATACATCCTGCATATCAGATATTGACATTATGATTCATAACAGTAGCAAAATTACTGTTATGTAGTAGCAATGAAAATAATGTTATGGTTGAAGAACTGTACTAAGGGGTCGCGGCATTAGAAAAGTTGAGAACCACTGGTCTGTGCTGGCATATTGCAATTGACCCACTCACCCTCTGCACATCATCTTACTACTGCCTACTGGAATCTAATTGGCTTTGTTTCTAGGCTACAGTGTACAACAGTATTTCTCAACCTGGGGGTTGGGACCCCTGGGGGAGGGGTCGTGAGGGGGTCAGAGGGGTCACCAAAGACCATCAGAAAACACAGTATTTTCTGTTGGTCATGGGGTCAAGTTCACCAGCACTTTCACCCAATCCTCCACCCCCCCCCCCAGCCGATTTTATAAGCCAGGATGGGCAAGGGTCTAGAGCAGTGGTTCTCAACCTTCCTATTGCCACGACCCCTTAATAGAGTTCCTCCTGTTGTGGTGACCCCCCCAACCATAAAATCATTTTCATTGCTACTTCATAACTGTCATTTTGCTACTGATATCAATTGTAATGTAAATATCTGATGTATTTTCATTTACTGGACCAAATTTGGCACAAATACTCAATATACCCAAGCTTGAATACTGGTGGGGTTGGGGGGGGGATTGATTTTGTCATTGGGGAGTTGTAGTTGCTGGGATTTATAGTTCACCTACAATCAAAGAGCCTTCTGAACCCACCAATGATGGAATTGAACCAAACTTGGCACACAGAACTCCCATGACCAACAGAAAACACTTTGGTGGGACCTTGAGTTTGGGAGTTGTAGTTCATCTACATCCAGATAGAGCACCGTGGACTTAAACAATGATGGATCTGAACCAAACTTGGCATGGATACGCAATATGCCCAAATGTGAACAGTGGTGGAGTTTGGGGAAGACAGACATTGACACTTGTGAGTTGTAGTTACTGGGATATATAGTTAACCTACAATCAAAGAGCATTCTGAACCCCACCAGTGACAGAACTGGGCCAAACTTCCCACTCAGAAACCCCATGACCAACAGAAAATACTGTGTTTTTTGATGGTCTTTGGTGACCCCTCTGACACCCCCTCGCGACCCCTCCAGGGGTCCCGACCCCCAGGTTGAGAAACACTGGTATAGAGAGCAAGTGGTTGGCCTCATTTCTCCTAAGATCTTGTCCACCTCCTTGGACTGCACAAGCTGAAAATGGGTTTTGGCTGAGATGGCTAGGCTAGATGGGTGCGCCTTGCCTTTCCTGGCTACGTAAGGGCAGCTGAAAGATATGCTGCAGCTGGCTCTTGCTCTGTGTGTCTCCAAATTCATCCTGTCTTCGGAACTAGTTCCAAGGAGGTTGGCTGAAAGTAAAGATCCCTTTTGGCCCTCAGAACACTGTTGCAGCAGGCCCAGTTTGGGAGATCGACCACTCTTGTAATGCAACTCGTGTTCTTTCAAGTAGTTTTGGACTTATGACCCTATCATAACGTTTTGGATTTATGACCCTATCATGACGTTTTTCTTGGAAAGGTTTCTTCAAGAAGCCTTCTTCTGAGGTTCTGACTTGCCCAAGGTCATCCAACGGGTTTCCATGATGAGAGGTGGTTCAGAGTCAAAATCTTATGCTCAAACCACTACGCCGCACTGGCTTCCGTGTAATGGAACTGCCCTTTGTATTTTGCACGTATTCTCAGATTATCTAATCTCGATCCTAGTTGGCGTGTGACTTTGCCATTCCGATTTCCTTGAACCGTGTCGGGAAGAAAATGGTTGTTTTTCTAAATGTAGGACTAGCCTCTCCTTTCTGAATCCCTTGCTCCTGGTAACCATGGAAATGGCTGCTGCGATATGCAACCTGTTGTGGGACCTGGCACGTGCCGGGGTTTGCCCGCCAGACCTTCCCCTTTCTACCTTCGCATCTCGCTCACAATATTTGCATTCCAAACAGGACGTGGGTTTCTGCAACCTCTCAAAGATAGGAAGACAGGTCTGGGTTTATTCCCAATTTCACTCCCGCAAGCCATGATAGCATCCATCTTTTATTAACTGTGCTTAAGGAAGGGAGTAACCGTGTCCTGGCTGGGATGTGTACCCAAAATGCTCTTAGTTGAATCCAAGCAAATGGAATATGTCCCTCTTGCAGCTTCCCTGGAGCTGAATCATTCAACAGCTGCACATTTCAAGTATCTTGTGTCTCTCCTCCCTTCTATCCCCCTGCTGCTTGCCGCTAAGGAAACGACGACTTCTTGCCTGTAGCTCTTATTTCCAGGGAAACCAACCTTGTGCATAGCAGTTGTCACACGCGGCACTCAGACTGGAGAAGTTGATAAGTGTGATGCTTAAAACAAGGACGGGTGGTATGACATGGGGGCTTAATGTTGTTTGGTATTCAGACTGTTTTGTCCATTACGCCCAGCATTGTTTACTCTGCCTTCAGTGTGTTTCAGACAGCGCCTGCCTCTTGGTCTCTTCCAAATTGGAAGTGCCAGCAACCAAACCTGGCATCTCCTGCATGCAAAGCAGGTGCTCAGCTGTGCAGCTAAATAGTGATGCTGCCTCTGCCCCACATTTGTTATTTCCTCAATATTAAGGTTTCCTTAAGAGCTGAAGTTCTGATTTCCATGGACAACCAGTGGTCCATAAGAACTAAATATGTTGCACTGCTTCACCATTACTCCATCATTTCCTTGAAACCATGTGGCAATGAGAGCGACTGGTCTCGCAAAACCCTCTTACAAGGCAACGGGGATGTTGGGAGGGGAGAGGCTGATCACTCATGAAAGTTTACTACTACGACATCAGCTCTAGATAATTAAATATGGTTTTCTGTGAGTGAGCAGATGATGACTACTGGATGGCATATGTTCTGTATCAGAAACTAAAGATGATGTGGTCTATCCAATGCAATTTTCTGAATCACCACCCCAAATAACCAAACTGAATCTAAAGTTGACCAAAAACTGATTCAGAACCCTTTTGGTAATAATGTTCAAGAGGAGTCCCTGGTCAAAATAGTCCCTGGTCAAAGCAGTCCCTGGACAAAGCGGTCCCTGGTTAAGTGGTATCTTCTTGAAGTGGTCCCTGGTCAAAGTGGTCCCTGGTTAAGTGTTAACTTAGAATCATAGAATCATGGAAGAGACCTCATGGGCCATCCAGTCCAACTTCCTGCCAAGAAGTAAGAATATTGCATTCAAAGCATCCCTGACAGATGGCCATCTAGCCTCTGTTTAAAAGCTAGATGGTCATACAGCTTAGAAAACTCACAGAAATCCTGCACATATCATATTTGTGGTGCAGGAAAACATGAAAGAACAATCATAGAATCATAGAATGAAAGAGTTGGAAGAGACCTCAAGGGCCATCCAGTCCAACCCCCTGCCAAGAAGCAGGAATATTGCATTCAAATCACCCCTGACAGGTGGCCATCCAGCCTCTGTTTAAAAGCTTCCAAAGAAGGAGCCTCCACCACATTCCGGGGCAGAGAGTTCCACTGCTGAATGGTTCTCACAGTCAGGAAGTTCTTCCTCATGTTCAGATGGAATCTCCTTTCTTGTAGTTTGAAGCCATTGTTCCACATCCTAGTCTCCAGGGAAGCAGAAAACAAGCTTGCTCCCTCCTCCCTGTGGCTTCCTCTCACATATTTATACATGGCTATCATATATCCTCTCAGCCTTCTCTTCTTCAAGCTAAACATGGCCAGCTCTTTAAGCTGCTCCTCATAGGGCTTGTTCTCCAGACCCTTGATCATTTTAGTCACCCTCCTCTGGACACATTCCAGCTTGTCAATATCTCTCTTCAATGTGGTGCCCAGAATTGGACACAATATTTCAGGTGTGGTCTAACCAAGGTGGAATAGATGGGGAGCATTACTTCCCTGGATCTAGACACTAGGCTCCTATTGATGCAGGCCAAAATCCCATTGGCTTTTTTTGCCGCCACATCACATTGTTGGCTCATGTTTAACTTGTTGTCCACGAGGACTCCCAAGATCTTTTTCACATGTACCGCTCTCGAGCCAGGCATTGTCCCCCATTCTGTATCTTTGCATTTTGTTTTTCCTGCCAAAGTGGAGTATCTTGCATTTGTCCCTGTTGAACTTCATTTTGTTAGTTTTGACCCATCTCTCTAATCTGTCAAGATCGTTTTGAATCCTGCTCCTGTCCTCTGGAGTATTAGCTATCCCTCCCAATTTGCTGTCATCTGCAAACTTGATGATCATGCCTTCTAACCCTTCATCTAAGTCATTAAGTCTTGAAGTGGTCCCTGGTCAAGTGGTCCCTGGTCAAAGTAGTCCCTGGTCAAAGCAGTTCCTGGTCAAAGCGGTCCCTGGTCAGAGTGGCCCCTGGTCAAGTGGTGCCTTCTTAAAGCGGTCCCTGGTCAAAGTGGTCCCTGGTCAAGTGGTGCCTTCTTAAAGTGGCCCCTGGTCAAAGCGGTCCCTGGTCAAGTGGTCCCTGCCCAAAGTGGTCTCTCGTCAAGTGGCCCCTGATCAAAAAATGGTTGGGAACCACTGCTTTAGAGGCAGCATGTCCCTGTTTCCACTTTATACTGAAATAGCTCTGATCATAGAATCATAGAATCAAAGAGTTGGAAGAGACCTCATGGGCCATCCAGTCCAACCCCCTGCCAAGAAGCAAGAATATTGCATTCAAATCACCCCTGACAGATGGCCATCCAGCCTCTGTTTAAAAGCTTCCAAGGAAGGAGCCTCCACTACACGCCGGGGCAGAGAGCTCCACTGCTGAACGGCTCTCACACATCAAAAGACAGTTGCCCAGTAAGTGTTATATTATTATTATTATTATTATTATTATTATTATTATTATTATTATTATTATTGTCTTTATCATCATTGTATTACACACTTCTCCTGGCAAGTAATTAATCAACATTCAGAACCCCACTTGCAATCCTAAAGAAATTGTCTCATTTTGAATCATTGAGCATATTTTTTAACTACTGGGCTACTGTCTGAAAGCTCTCTTTCAAAAAAGAAAAATCTCATTCAAAATGGCATTCTCCGAACTAAAGCATCTGTCTGTTGCTTCCAGAGCACTAGACACATGTCATGAATGTTTAGCTGGGGTTAAGCTTCCCTTTGACTTTTGTTTTTGTTAAGTTATATATTGATTGAAAAAAATGATTTGAAATGCCTTTGCAAAACATGGTTTGGACTAAGTCTGTTCTATGTTGTACCCTTTTGGAACCAGACTACCCTTCTGTATGAAGGTGGCAACCAGGCCTTGCTTATAGTTCCCTTTCTGGGCCCAGGAGGCAACATTTAGCTCAGTAGACTTAAGCCATGGTTTTACTGCACTTCTGGAATCTGAATTAAGAGAGTTAAGTGCAGTTAGTGCATGGTTTGGTTCCTGTTGTTACAGCTCTACACATTTTGAAATTGATCCTATCATATGTATTAACATAAATTTAACTTGTCCCTGTGTACCTATGCCTCAGCTATATGCCTCAAAATAAGAAGCGAATGAGTTTTAGATGTCTTTATTGTCTCCCTTTTTCATTTTTTTGCATTTCATCTCTTATAAAGGACCAGGACTTATCTATTACAGGACTCTGACTGGCAAGTCAAGCAAGGCAATACATATATAATACAGGCCTTTTTCTTTCCAGATGTTTAATGACAAAACTATTCATAATCAATACATAAAATACTGACATATTTTCATATATATATATTTGTGTGAAGAAAATTAAAAATGTAAATACAAAATAAGCACATTTCATTTAAAAACGATTATATTATTTGATAGAATTAGGCTTCTCTTCCCCACCCCCCACCCCCTTAATTCAGTAAGACATAGTTAGAATAAGTAGCAGCTTGGTTATCAAGACATAATTTTGTGCAGTCTTTTCGTGTAGGAGTTGCGTTCTTTTTATGGTCACTTTTTGGACTCTTAAACGGGCATTTCTACTTGCATTTAAGACATGGCACACAAGCATTTATGTTCCCTCCACATTGGAATAACAAAGCAACTTATTCACTTCAGCACAAATCCATAGCCCATTTCTAGGGACACCACGGCAAGCATTACGACAAAGATCCAGCACCGCTCTGAAGACGTTGCTTTGGAGGGTGCCCGAGGGTTAATTTTCTTGGTAGATTCCTCTCTCTTTACAGTAGTTGTGCTTTGAGGTCTCTTTGAATAGTTTGTAGGCATCCCGCTGGTGATACCCAAGGTCATTGGCGTGGTGGACAATCCTGCTAGGCCTATTGTGCTTGCATTCAGAGAGGATGTATCTTGAATGTAGATGGTGTGCCCGGCTGCAGCCGCTTCATAAGAACTGAGCTTCTCTGTGCTCAGCCCTTCCGGGTGCAAGGACAGCGGCCTGCCCGTGCTTGTGAATGCAATTGTTCGCCCAACAGTAGCGCTTAGACTGATGTCTTTCATTCTGAACTGTTGATGCACGAGTCTGGTTTGTTCAGTTGCCACCGGAGGCCCAGCTGTGTGCAACGCCTTCATTGCTTTCACAAGGAGGGGGTTCTCTGCCGTTGTGGGAGTTGGCAAGTACGTGGTGGCCTCAAAGGAGCACGGCGACCCCAGGACCATAGCGCTGGTTTCTTCCACCCATTTCTGGAGATAGGAGAGGGCTTCCTCGCTATCATCTCCACATGCCCAAGGGTTGTTGTAAAGGGTTATTAGTTGGAGTTGGACAAGCTGGTCAAAAGCTCCCTCAGGAATATAGGTGAACTTGTTGTTGTGCAGGTAAAACTTAGAAAGGTGCGTGAGCCTCATTAGTGTGCCTGGTAGTATTTGTGTCAAGAAGTTGTCAGATAGATCCACCGTTTCGGTGTTGTAAGGAATGTTGGTGGGGACAGTCCAGAGCTTGTTGCTACTAAGGTTGAGGAACCTGAGGCTGCTCATGGTGTTGTTAATGAGGACGGCCCTTTCCACCATGTTCCTGGAGACATCAAGGACTTTAAGGTTCCACTGGTATGCCGTGTCAAGCTTCTGAAGGACCCTGATGTTGTTGTATGCCGCATATATTTCCCACAGTGACCTGGGCAGGTGAGCTGGGAGGTTCTGGAGCCAATTGTGGGAAAGATCCAGGGTCCTCAAATTGGTGAACTTTGTCAGCTGGTGGTCCAGGTCCACCAAGTGGTTGTGGGACAGGTTTAAATAGGTGATGTTATTCTGAAGTCCGTGGGGCAGTGTTGTCAGGTTTCCGCCAGAACAGTCCACATTCCTGTCGTTTCCTGAGCATGAACACACAGAAGGACAAATCCCCTGAACGGCTGGTAGGATGAAGAGAAGAGCCAGGACACAGGGTGGCGCCTTCAAGACCCGGTTTTCCATGGTTGCCTGGAAGCAAATGCATACAGAAACACCCAAATTATTACACAGATTTCGAATGTGGTTCATAAAGCAGTTGGATAAATCTCAAGCAGAGATGCCTCGCCGATGGAAGCACATTTCAAGGAAAATCCCACACATACCTACATCACTGTGGCATAGACCTCATAGGTTCAAAAGCCCGCTTATTTACAAAGGCTCTCTTCATCCCACTGTCTCTGCTGTCTGGCAGAAAGAGGCTCATCTATTTCCACTTTCCTCCTCATCTCTTCCCCCCTCCCTTATGCCTTCAGCTCCCAATGGTAGCATTCTTCTTAAACGGCTGGTCTTGTCCAAATATTATACAATGTCTGCTTTCTGTTTACAGCAATCTGAATGCCGTGTTTATCTTTTGAATATTCTTCTTTCCTATTTTCTGTCTTTTATGAAGAATTATGCCCGTGGTGTGTGTTTGCATTACGGTGGAGGTATAGCTGGCGGAAATATCAGTCTTAAATCTCTGCAGTACTATAGCAGTTCTGTAAAAAGAAGCTATGTTGGATCAGAGACATAGATTTGGAAGAATGTTATGCCGTGGCGACCTACCTGAGTCTCACCACAAACATTGCCCCCCTTCCTACGACTCCCCTTTTTTGGAAGCATGGCAACAACATCTCCATCTCTAAAGCCAAAATTTAATGTCAGGATGAAATTGTCTTAGCAGCTACTGCAGCAGACCGCTGGTGCATGGAACTGCCAAGCGAAAGGCATCGTTTTCTTCCTTCTGTGTCGTCTACTTTAAATACACACACACACACAACCAACCATGGATATGGGATGAAGAGCATAGCATTATCCGGCTGTATAAAAGCAAATGGGGGTGGAGAGGGGGAGAAGACCTACTTACCCTAGTCCCTACCGCAGCCTTAGTGCATCCTTTCCCTGGAAGATGGGAACGCAAAGGCCGGCTTGCTCTCGAAGGGAGCCACAGTTTGTCTGTGGGTTGTGCTTTGCCGCCTCAGCTGCATCGTACTGCCGTTTCCAGGGGTTCTGCAACCACCTGATCAGCGCTCGCTCCGTCGGAGGAGGACTGCAGAGCTGTCTTTTTGGTGCTGACTCAAATTTATTGCCAGGGGTGCAAACTCAACAGAACGGACTGCCTCCCTCTCTCTCCTCTCTCTCTTTTTTAAAGAGACCCGACTTCCCAAAGTTCTGTCTGTGTGTTTCTTTCCTCCACCCTCCTCTTGGGACATAGCTCAGTGCATTAGGATGCAGCACACATACTTGAACTGTGCAAATAGCATCCAACCTCTGAGGCTTCTCTCTCTCTCTCTCTCTCTCTCTCTCTCTCTCATTTTTTGGCATTTTTTAGTTAGCTAGAAGGCTCCTTTGGTGTTTAGCAGTCTCCTCCTGCTCTCTGCCTTTGATTTGAACCACCTTTTCTTGCCCAAGAGCCTACTTCTGCATTCTTCAACTGCAGCGCTTAAACCTGCAGGGTTGTTAAAGAGGCATTTAAATCATAACGTTTCAAGGAAGCCCAAGGACTGGCTATACCAGCCCCCTGTTTTAGATACGGTGCTTCTTATATTAACCCACCACTCACCCATGGATCAACCTGACCCCACCTATTATATGGTTCAGAAGAAGGTGATGCACAGAAGGATACCTCCACTTGCTAATTCACTTCACTTCACTTCACTTTATTTCTTAATTAGTCGCTCTCCACAAGGTGCTCCGAGCGACTTACAATTTACACAACATAAAAACATTCAACATTGACTATTTGGCAAATTAGATCTGATCACTTTACTTAAATGCACAACCAACAGCCAAGTCTTGAGCGCCTTTAAAAAAGGTCGCAACTCCGACATTTCTCTAATATATGGAGGCAATGAGTTCCACAGAATTGGAGCATAGGTCGAAAAAGCTCTACGCCTTGTAGCTTCCAGGTGTATCTCCCTAGGGCCCGGTATGTGTAGGAGATTTTCTTGGGTAGATCGAGGTAACCACTGATGGAAAAAAGGAATGAGGCGGTCCCTAAGATATAAAGGTCCTTGGCCATTTTGAGCTCTAAATGTCAGGATCAGTATTGAAGCATCCATATGGAAAAGGAATGGCTGGAGCTTGGGGGTAGTGTGTGTGTGTGTGTGTGTGTGTGTTTGAATATAAGCTATTAAGAACTTCGGGTTTATTTTACACATTCACTAACTCCAGTCTTTACTTCAAACTGTGGCCATTTGAAGTAAAGCTATTTTGTGTTCTGCTTTGCCTTGGAGGTTGGACCTTTGCTGCTGATCTGTGGGTTCTTTCCGGACCAATTTAGCATTTCCTTATGCAACATTACTCCCGTAACTCTGGGCCCATCCCTTTTTACTGATGCCCTTTTCCATGCTGTGTAACATTAAACCAGTGGTTCCCAACTAGTGCTCTGTGGACCACCAATAGTTCGCAAGACCGAAAATATGGTCCAAGGCCTCACCATTACTACATTGAAACCACACCACAGTGAGAGCAACGGGTCTCACGAAATCCTCTTATAGTGCCGAGGCAAGAGGGATGTTGGGCGGGGGGAGGCTGGACTATAATTTCCATCACCAATATGGTCAGTGATTTGGTGATGGAGACTACAGTGTATTGATCTCAGCAGAGTAAAAAGTTCCCCATTCCCTTTAAACGTTTTTTGGGTGGTACTGATGCTACACAACAGACTCTAAGACCAAGTGCCTTGTCAGGATGCTGGGTTGGAAAATCAAGAACTTACATCCCCAGCTCACGCCTAGAATTGAAACACAGGTATTTTTCACTTCTGATTGAGAGGAGTTGATTTTCCACTGCCTTCTAAGCAATTACTGCACTGGAAAGGAAATCTGGGTTTGCATAATTATTTGGAAGAGCACATTCTAACAAAAAACAGACCCACATTCACATGGAGCCCATGGAAGCTTTGGGTAACCGAATTCTACCTCCTTCAAAACCCAAAAATCTTATAGTGCTGAGGCAACGGGGATGTTGACATAGGAGAGGCTGATTACCCACAAAAGATTGCTACCACCACATCAGCTCTAGATTATTAAATATGGTTTTTTTGTGGATGGGCAGATGGTAACTACTGGGTGGCTTATGTTCTGTATCAGAAACTCGAGCTGATGTAGTTTTCTGAATCAGCACCCACAAATAACCAAACTGAATGTAAAGTTGACCAAAATCCAATTCATAATTCTTTTGGTACTAATGTTGGAGAGTAGTTCCTGGTCAAGTGGTGCCTGGTCAAAAAAACATTGGGAACCTCTGCATTAAACCAACACATCTGTGGGATGGACGATTTAAAATCTGGGGTTAATCCCAGTCACGAGTGGACCTTTGATAATGTAGTCTCTGGTGCTCCCTTCATCCCTGCTTGACATCACAAAGCCCTCAAGAAGCCAACTACCATTTTCTGCAAGGTACAATGTTCCTCCTTAGAAGATGGTGGTAGCTGCTTATTGCAAGAAAGTTTGTTTAGAGGGTGCACCTAACCACTTCCTGAGAGTAAACATAGTTACCCGCTTAATGATGGATTGTGCTTTTTAGCCTTAGGTTTCCCTAGATGTTTTGGACTTCAGGTCAAGATTGCCCTACCTCCATGGTTCTCAACCTGTGGGTCCCTAGGTGTTTTCGCCTACAATTCCCAGAAATCCCAGCCAGTTTACCAGCTGTTAGGATTTTTTGGAGTTGAAGAGGATCTGGGGATATACAGATTGAGAACCACTGCCCTACTTGAGGTAAGAAAAGAATTGAGGTGGTAGTTTGGGTCTTAAAGATGATGCCTCATTGTCAAGATTAGGGATGGGGACTATATGCAACCCTCATGTTTACCAAGACTCCAGAGATGTCCTTATGGAGACAAGGCAAGTTTGTCATGTTTTAGAGTCCAGTACTGACTTCCAGTCATTTCCTGATTGTATTTTTTTAAAGCCTCACTGAGATATAGAGAGAATTGGAAGCATGGGGAGGACATCTTGGCCCTCTAAGGTCTCTTACCTTCGCACAGTTGCTCTCCCAATCTAGCCTATGAGTGCCAAACTTGAAAACATGCCCAAGTGTGCACCAAGTATGCAACCAGTCCCATTTCTGTGGTTTGACCCCTGCGGGCAATTATTCAGTCTTTTTGCTGCAGGACTTGGCAGGCAGGTGCCAGTGAGAAAAGTGCACACATTTCCACATCAGCCAAGGGCCGCACGATGAATGAGATGACCTTGGATGCACTGCAGTATCCCTCCCGTTTTGGAGTCTGTGGCAAACGTCCCATAAGTTGCCTGTGACTGCAGCCCTTCTCTCTCTGTATTGCACCATCCCTCCCGTCTATCAATGCAATGAAAATATGGAGTGCGACTCAGCATCTTGCTACGGGCATCCTGTTCACCTGTGAACAGCTGAACAGGTTTGGAATGAATGGTTTCGTGGCTATACAATCTGGAGCCTGTGTATCTTGCTCGGTATTAAAGCAGATAATTAGGTTCTTTGTAATGGCCAGATACTGCTGGTAATAATTCCTCAGTCTTTAATGTTAAAACAAGATACGCTCAGATATATTATTGAGCCGTTATTAACATCCAGCTCCCCTCTCCTTCCAAGCATATATCATTTCCTCCATACAGCATTGAGGGCTGCTCCTTGTTTTACTTTTCTTGGCTGCCGTTGGCTCTGCATTGCTGAGATCTATTCTGGTGTATAGGGTTGCAATAAAAGGGTTCCTCAGTTTTTCATTGCAACCCCAGGTTTTGTCCTCAGCTATCTCTGGAAGGCATGACTGACAGATGGGTGGAGGGAAGCCATTCCTTGGGAGTAAATGAGGACGCTGTGTGATATAATGCCTTCTGTTTCCAGTGTTTAAGCAGCGAATGATACCACAGAAGGAGCCAGAGTGGTGCTACCTGTGCCAAAGAGGGAGACAACAGTATGAGAGAATCCCCAGTTTGGCAAAAGTTTTTTTAAAAAACGATTTGCAAGAACTAGCACTGGAAAATTAGGTTTAAAACCCTGTTCATCATAGAAACTCACTGAGAGACACTGGGCAAGCCATGATCCTCAGCCTCAGAGGGAAGCAATGGCCAACCTCTTAAGAAACCCCTGTGATAGCTTTGCTTTGGGGTTGCCATCATTCAGAAATTACTTGAAGACACAAATCAGCAACATGGAATAATAATATAATAATAGTAACACTTTATTTATATTGCACCAATCTCCCCGAGGGGACTTGGAGCAGATTACAGCATATAAACAGACGCAGGCAAACATTTAATGCCTTGTTACAGTGAAATACAATGAAACACAATTAACACAGACAGAGGCAAAGGCTTCTCCTTTCATTTCCGGCTCTGGAGGCAGTGTCTTTCATTTCCAAGCAGAGAAGTCTGTGTTGTCCGTAGGCACATCCTGGTCGTATGGCGTGACTGCATGGAGCGTTCTTTTGCCTTTCCCGCCAAGGCGGTACCTATTAATCTACTCACATTTGCATGTTTCATCATCATCATCATTTAATAACTTATTAATCGCCCTCCATCCGAGAATGCTCCAGGCGATTTACAGCTAAATTATAAAAGATAAAATACATACATACAAAAATTAAAAATCAACAGAGATCGAATGCTCTAGTAAAAAGCCAGGTCTTAAGTGCGAGAGTAAAAGTCACGCATGGCTCTCATGTAGGGCGGCAAGGAATTCCACAAGGCAGGGGCAGAAATAGAAAAGGCCCATCTGCGCCTGGTCCTTTCCAAGTGCACTTCTCTAGGACCCGGTATATGGAGTAAGTCACGTTGGGCTGGTCGTTGCGACCTCCGATGATGGGAGAAGGAGAGGCGGTCCCTAAGGTACGATGGACCCTGGCCGTAAAGAGTTTTAAAGTTCAGAACTAGCATCTTATACAGGCCACGGTACTCAGTTGGAAGCCAATGTAAATGTTGCAGCACTAGTGTTATATGGCATTTTATGGGCGTTCTTGTGAGTAGCCTGGCTGCCGCATTCTGAACAATACGAAGCTTTTGGGTCGTAGACATCGGAAGGCCCACATACAGGGCGTTGCAATAGTCCAGGCTAGACGTGACTGTGGCATGGATGACAGTTTCCAGACCCTCGTCAGCCTTGTTTCCAAACTTATAGGTTGGCAGGAGCTAGGGCTAACAGCAGGAGCTCACCCCGGCCCATGGATTTGAATTGCCAACCTTCAGGTCAGCAGTTCAATAGCACAAGGGTTTGACCCATTGCACCACCGTGGCTCCAGGCTTAGCTGATGTTAAGAGAGGCACTTTGCACTGCAATATGTTGTCACACATCACCGTGTGTCGACACATTTACAAAATCCGTGGGTGCTCAAGTCCCGTTATATACCAGGGCCTAGTAAAATGATATCCCTTCTATAAAACGGCAAAATCAAGGTTTGCGCTGTGGATTTTAAAAAATATGTTCAAATTATGGATAGCTGAGTTGATGGATATAGAATCTGTGGCTACAGCAAGCCAGCTAATCTATTTTTTCTCAAGCTACGTTTTATAGTTCTTTAGAGCATATAGAAGGAGTCAATTGAGCTGGGAAATTCTGTATGGTACATAAGATCTGCTTCACAAACCCTCAATGATTTTGTTAAAAGTAATGCCTCTTTGTTTGTTTATTGTCTTTATTTTATATTTCATCATTTCCTCGAGACTGGGAGTCGAGGCAGCTTATGCATTTAAAAGATTACAATTCAAAAGTTACAAAAGCAATATTAAATCAGATTAAGCTGTGAACCATATTAGAAACCTATCTTCTAAAAAGAATTTTTAGGAGAACAAGGAGGGAACAAGTATGGTATCCTTAGAGAGGGAGTTCTAAAATATAGGAACAGCCACTCAGAAGGCCCTTTCTCTTGACCCCAGTGCTGTATATGCAGGGCTTTTCTTCACATATTGTTGCACTCCAGGCCTGGAAACACCTGTGGCCACCACACCACACAAGAGTCCAGAAATATAAGCAAACAGTTTATTGTAAAAACATATGAAAAGCATATATAAAAATCAGGAATAAGAAAGGTAGATAAATAATACAAAACGGTTTAGCAACAGGTAATAACCAAACAATATTCCAAATGTCTCATAAAGTTCCAGAAGTAATAAAGTCCAGTAACAGCCAGAAATCATAGATATAGCATAGGTCCACAATCAAGAAGGCATAACTAGTAAAATGTGAACAAGATCATAGAAAACATCCAGGATATATATAAAATCCAAAATCAAAGCTTGATTTGAACCAGGAACAAGAGAACGCAGGCTTAGTTTCTCACTCCAATGTAGCATTGCCTGAACTGACCTTAGGGTAAGCAACTTGTTTAATAGACACCCATGAAATCATCCCTTTTCCTGTGAATTTCCTTCACAACTTTCCCCCATAATCCCTCTGCTCTGATTTGTAAACAAAGACCTTTGTTGATCTCTGTAGCTCAGTGGTTCTCAACCTAGGGTCCCCAGATGTTTTTGACCTACAACTCCCAGAAACCCCGACTAGTTTACCAGCTGTTAGGGTTTCTGGGAGTTGAAGGCCAAAAACATCTGGGGACCCCAGGTTGAGAACCACTGCTGTAGCTACAGGTGGGCTCCCATGGGAACCGTTCTTATCACTCAGCTCTTCACTCGATTCCTTATCTGCTGTTGCTACTTCTGACTCCCCTGAATGCCTGAGCTGGTTTTCTCACAGAGAGAACCATCATTTCTCAGACTTGAATTTCCCAGACTTAAGAGCCGCAGGAAAGCTCACAATCCTCTCTACACCATCAGTTAAACCATCAGACTCTAGTGGGTGTTCTAAAACACATATACCCCAACAATCACAAGATCTTTTATTCAAAGAAAATGCATTGAGTTTCTCTTGTAACCTTCTACTGGTGCCTGGCAAAATCTCTATTAATGTCGCTAAATAGCCAAGCACTTAAAAGTAGTTTATGAAAGCAAACTTAAATTATCTGAAGGTGAAGAAAGAAGAGCAGAATATGATCTGATTATCATATCTCCTTGCATGCAGCATAGGTGATTGGACATCTAGTTAAAAGAAAAGGAGACTGAATCTGAAGTACAGCTGTGCCTTCACGATCCAAAAGTACCAAATACAGAAGACACAGTCATTGATTTAACTCTGATTGGTGCTCAGGATCCAGTGCATAAGGCAGGTATTTCCAGTCGGCTTGGGAGCGGCAGCTGAAACATTTTTCACATAAGTCCAATTTCAATTTCAAAAGAGAGAACTTATCAAAAGGGAAGAGATGATTGAAAAGAAAAGTTCAAGGGCAGGGCGGGAGAGTCAGCGCTCTTAATCGTACTTCGATCAAAAAGCACTTAAAAGGAAACCCAGTTCAAACACCACGCAATGAGTTCGAAAGTCCAACTGAGAGGATTCTGTGTTGATCATGATATGAAGGTTTCCCGTAAAAACAGTTTTGTGGTCCAAATGAAAACAAGAATCTCTTAAAAGGGCACAGAAACTAGTGTTGGTGGATATGCCATTATTCAGTCTAGCACTGAATAATACTGTTTGTGCCCATCATGTGGCTTCCTTGAAGGCATTGGGTTAAGAATATGAGACGCCAGGTTAGATGGACCTGTTGACTTTGCAGGATTAATGTGGGCAGTGTGGTTTCTCTTTGCTTACAAAAGCATTGAGCAGAAAAGCAGATTAGGTTCTTTGTTAAACACTTTGGCTTCTACAAAGGAGTCCAGGGTTCCGATTCTACAGTAAGGGACTCTGAATCAGTTCGATAAGAGTTCGTCTGGCGGTGGAGGCAGCAGTAATGCTTCACTTGGTATTTGATAGTTGGCAACGGGAGGCATAGGATGGTGGATCTCGGCATATGGGTCAAGCGAAACGGGCTCTGCTTGAGTGGGACCAAGGTCCCCATTGAGACCACCAAGCCAGTTGGGCGGAGGAGGCAGGTTAAGAGGCTCAGGGCTGTAAGCTTGAAGTGGAACGTCAACCATGTCACTTGGTTCTTCAGAGACCGCCGTTTGTTCGCTTGCTGACGAGCCCGAGTTCCCTGTTGCTGTAGGACCAGACTCCTCAGTGTCACATCTCGATGCAGTGTCCAGATCCTGCCTCGATTCAGACAAGGGGCCATCTGCGTTTTCCAGTAGCTGTGTCTCCTTGTTAAACTTCCATGGCAGGAGAGAGAGAACAGACACCCGCTTCAGGCCATTGGCCACTTCTTTGTCCGTCGCAACTTCTGGCACGTCTCCATCCGCAAAGGGGGAGCGACCAGCCCAGTGCGGAAGAGGCAAAGCTGCCTTCCTCCATCGCCTCCATAGGAAGATGCCAACAATAACGGCAATCATGATAATCAGGGTGACCCCAATTACTACTGCTGTTAATACGTGTTCGTTGTGAGATTTGGGCCCCTCTGTTATAGGCTGCCGGGGCTTCGCTGTGGACAATGGCCTGTTGTTTTTGGTGGAGCCTCTTGTTTGAGAGGAATGTATTTGGGTGGTGGAAATAGTGTCGACTTCTGTCACTCTGACTGTTGGAAGAGGAGCGGGAGAGGAAGAGTTTGCAGCCCCCTTTGTCTCTGCAAAGATGGGGTTCCACCATATTTGCCCACAGAAGAAAATGAGGACAGTGGGATTGGTGTTCATCGTTGTCATCATGCTGGCAAATTCTTCTGTAGCATATAGAGAAGAAAACAGTGCTCTAAGTGTTGAATCTTAATTTCTGAAATAATGATAATGAACAATTAATATTTTGGCATATAATAAAATAATTATAATTATAATATTTTTTCTCAAAAAATCTACAATTTAAAACCTGAATTATAATAACTATAATTTTGTGCTCTTGTAGAAAAACTAATTTTAACCTAATTTTAATTTCTTGAATAATGATTTCTAGACTGCCTTTCAGGGCCTAATATTTATTATTTGTTATTTATAAAAAGTTATTTAGCCTATGCTTCATCCTAACATACCAAAACTACCATGCACATTAAAATTGCAGTGATAGGCAAAGTATAGTTCTGTATAAACATGATATCATAGTATCATCAGTTTTACAAACACATACACCCTATATGTTCATCTGGAAAGAAAACACTTCTGGTGCATGAAGTTCCACCCCTTTCAGTGGTAGGTCATATAGACTAGGACCTCAGGCATTGATAGTAATGCATTGGCAAGCTTATATGGCTGCAGGAGGTCCTTTCAGATGGGTCCCAAGGCTCTTGAACATGGCTTGTTTTCTGTCTCATTGCTGACCAAGCAGTGAGATAATAAGAACTGAAATAGCATTAGAGGAAATCTTTACTGCCAGCATTGGTTCATAGCATGAGAGTTGACTTAAAGAGGCAGATCAGGAACCTTAAACTGATGTAAGAGCAAAATGGCTCATCTCCATTACCTTGCTCTGTAAATAGCTGACCTATTACAGTCAATCCCTACAGAAGCCATAGAACAGTGTTTCCCAACCTGTGGTCTGTGGACTTCCAGTGGTCTGCAGGAACGAAAATATGGTCTGCATCACATGGCAACAATAGTGATTTGGTCTCATGAAACTCTCTTTAGTGTGGATGCAACGGGGATATTGGAAGGGGAGAGGCTGACTGCCCACGAAAGATTACTACTACTTCCACATCAGTTCTAGATGATTAAATAAGGCTTTCTGTGGGTGAGCAGATGTCGACTACTGGATGGCACATGTTCTGTATCAGAAACTAGAGCTGATGTAGTCTATCCAATGTAGTTTTCTGAATCAGCACCCCACATAACCAAACCAACTCTAAAATTGACCAAAAACTGATTTGTACCCCTTTTGGTACAATTGTTGGACAGTAATTCCTGGTCAAAAAAATTGACAGGTTCTGCCATAGAAGAACCTGTCTGAAAGAGGAGACCGGAAGAGTGGGCCATGGAAGAATATAATAAGCAACCCCACTATTTCCTTTGGGAAGACCTCAGGAAGGTCTTCAAATGGAGACTGAGTTGTTATTTTGGGGCAGTACTTAAGTTGCATGTTTTTGCATAGCAGCAGGGTGCACTAGTTGGGCCTTGAAATCCCTTCTTCCAATTCTGTGATTGTATACATGTGGCTCCCAGCTAACTCTATATGTAGCCCTCAAGCTATGAAAAGTGTTGTACCCTTGCAGATAGAATCCTGTAAATAGAGTTTTAAACATTAAAGAAGAATGTGAATGTTGATTTGGAATTGAACTATTGGTTGAACCGTTGGTTGATTTGGGGTTGAAACATTGATTGATTTGCTGCGATTCATTAGTGCCTCTCAATAACCTAGTACTAGTGATCCTAACAGTATAACTAACTGCCACTGTAATCCTAGACATTTTCATTTGCACTGCATTATGAAAAAGTAATACCTTACAGAGCAGACATGGGCAAACTTTGGCCCTCCGTGTGTTTTGGACTTCAACTCCCACAATTTCTAACAGCCTCCCTTCAAAAACCCAACATGTTCTCTCAATTATTTTAATTTGGATGTTGTTGTTGACCACTAACTGATAGAAGAGCCTGGCTATGACTTGGTCCTCAATGCTTGACTTTCATTTAACCGTAATAAGAGCTTGAGTTGAGGAAAACCATCCTAATTTTATTATAATTTGCTTGTTTGAGGTTGCAAAAAAGAGCCTTTACAAAACTAGCATTCTCTATAGACTAAAGAACTCAGTTCTGAGTTATATCAGTTTTAGTGGTCTCCTAGTTGTTTTTGTTTCTTTTTGCAACGAAAGAAGAATAAAATCTGTCTTACCTGTTTGATCCCGTCCCTCGTTCTAACCAGCTTCTGGTTTGTACGGCTGCATTTTAATGTTCCAAGAGCAGGGAAGTGAGAACATAACAGAGAGCTTGAAATATTTGGTGGTTCACACATTGCAAAAGGATCCTATTTTGACATAAAGAGGAAGTTTATCAATGCTAGATGCAGGAAGCAGAAAAAACTGAGAAGTGATTAAGAATGGTTCTGTTTGCACCGACAAAGGCTACGGCAAAGGCTTCAGCCTTCATAGAGATGTTTTCAGTTCTCGTCCACACTTCAGAGCAGCAGAAATGGAAGTGGGAAGTGTGTTTTTATCCCCTGCGTCTGAGCATAGAGAATATGGCTGAGGGGCTGCATTAAATTGGGTGAACCTGTGTGGACATGACCATATGTGCCTCCATTGCTTTTTTCCCCCTTGGGGGAGACAAAGATAATGTAATTGGTGTGAGAAGAGGCCTATGTGGACATTGCTTTTAGACCTTGAGATCTTTGGTTGGTGCAGTAGAGATGCAAATCTATTTCTCGCTTTTCATCATACCATAAAGTCAAATTGTTTCACTCATGTGGAAAGTCCCTCTGCGGATGCAGCTCACAACTGATCCACAATATAGCTATTTTTTCATGTCAAAAGCATTGCATAAATAAATTAGTATAAAAGGTGATAAAATAGAGGAAGCACAAACGGCTAAATAATTTTAGACCAAAAACAGGCAATAGCAGCTTTAAACAGTTCTTATTATTTATTTGTTTAGTTATTTATTTATTTAGAGCTTTTATAACTTGGTCTTCTCGACCTCCGAGGAGGGACTCAGGCCGGCTAACAACAGAGAATCAGTATACAAATAAATGAAAGCATAATAACATCATAGTACATTAATACGAGGGGTATTTTTTAAGTAAGGTCCGTTGGAACATAAGTACACAACGAAAGTTTATTTCATCATCATCATCTTTAATTACTTATTAATCGCTCTCCATCCGAGATGCTCCAGGCGATTTACATTGCAGAAATTATACAGGATAAAACACATACATTTCAAAAAAGTAAATTTATTTTCAGAAAGTACATACTTCACTCTATTTTTCGACATAGTTGCCAAGTTTGTTCAAACACTTATCATACCTCTGAACCAATTTTAAAATACCCTCTTCATAAAAACTTGCCGCCTGCTCCGATAACCAAATCGTCTGTAATCAAAGAAGGGCGACCGGAGCGGTCCTCATCATGGGCGTTGTCGCGGCCATCTTTGAATTGTCGTACCCACTTACGCACTTTGCTTTCACTCATAACAGTATCACCGTACACTTCACAAATCTGTCGATGAATTTCTGCAGCAGGCAGGTTCCTTGCTGACAAAAACCGTATCACTGAGCGAACTTCACATGCGGCGGGTGAGTTGATAGTCTTAAACATTTTTAAAGCACAGAACAGAACCGTACAGGTTAGCTACAAAGCGGAAACTGAGCACAGTTGTTCCCGAGGCATGCCAGTACACGACGCACGTGCTCGTTGCGGTATGCACGCGAACTACTAGTGTCTACAACAAAACAGACCTTACTTAAAAAATACCCCTCATACATTAAAACACATTAGAATACAGATCAAGAATTACATAAAGCCAATTCGTCAAGGTAAATCACAAATTCACCACCATCCGCCTTGTGGTCAACAGTTATTGATTTGATCATCAATTTTCCTCTGTGCATGAGGCAGGGCATTGTGAACAAGCATACAGATGCTGAGTTGTTTGTTCTGCTCTACATTCACACAAGGTGGAGGATTCTTCTAGTTAGTGCCATTTTAGCCAGGTTGTCTTTTAATCTGCCCACTCCGCTTCTGAACCTGTTCAGAGACTTCCAAGTTGCCCATTTAAATTAAATAGGAAACTCCCCCTGAAATCACAGGTCCACAGTTTGGGTGTCCTCCTGGACTCGTCACTGTCGCTTGAAGCTCAGGCATCGGCGGTGTCTGGGAGGGCCTTCGCAGAATTAAGACTCATGCGCCAATTGCAACCGTACCTCGGGAAGGCGGATCTGGCCAGGGTGGTCCACACCTTAGTCACTTCCAGATTGGATTACTGTAATGCACTCTACGTGGGGCTGCCCTTGAAAACGGCCCGGAAATTTCCATTCGTCCAATGGACGGCGGCCAGGCTGTTAACTGGTGCTCCTTACAGAGAGAGGTCAACCCTCCTGTTTAAGGAGCTCCACTGGCTGCCATTCATTTTCCGGTCCCAATTCAAGGTGCAGGTGCTTACCTACAAAGCCCTAAACGGTTTGGGACCCGCCTACCTCCGTGACCGCATTTCAGTGTACGAACCCACACGATCCCTTCATCCATCTGAAGAGGCCCTGCTTATGATCCCACCGGCATCGCAAGCGCGATTGGTGGGGATGAGGGATAGGGCTTTCTCGGTAGTAGCCCCTCGACTCTGGAACTCTCTCCCCAAGGACATCAGGCAGGCCCCGTTGCTAGCAGTCTTTAGGAGGAGCTTGAAAACATGGATGTTCCAGTGTGCCTTTCCAGAATAAGGAAACTCCTGGCATTATGTCCCAACGCACTTTATTTAGAGATCTAGGATATCTGCATGCCCATCTCCCTCCAAACATCCCACCTGTCATGCTCAGCACTTTTTTAATTTTAATTTTAATTATTACATTTGGCCCGGCCATTGTTTTTAACTGCGTAATTGCGTGTTGTTAATGTTATTGCTTGTTTTTTGTTTTATTTTGCTGTATTGTTGTTGTTGTTGTTTTATTGTTGTATTTTGGGCTCGGCTTCATGTAAGCCGCACCGAGTCCTTCGGGAGATGGTAGCGGGGTACAAATAAAGGATTATTATTATTATTATTATTATTATTAGGAAACTTTACCATCACAAACCAGA